GCCTCTTCCCACCAACACAAGCTTAATTAGCTCAGGTTTCCTGAAGCTTTGCTTGCTTTTGACAGAGCAAATGGGGTTCCGAGTTGCACAAGCCCAGCCAGGCCTGGAAGCCTCCACCAGCAGCACGAGTTCTCATCACAGCAAACCCGGCCACCACTCCCACATCTGTCTGGGAATTCTAACCTAAGGGCTCAGTAGCCGAAGAGAAAGGAAGAAGGGAGCGGGCCCAACTGCTAAATGTCAGTTTTTTCTGAGCTGATATTTTGAAGATCAATCTGTTTGTCAAACAGTAGAAATAATGACTGACAAGCCAAAATACTGAGGCTCTTTTGGAGGAGACAGAATCTTGATTTGCAATTTTCCTGTTACTTTCTGTGCAAATGTACTGTTCCTTCCATCTGCAGCTTAGTATCTTCTCTGGGTTTGCAGATGCTGCTTTGCTAACACCTCTGTCTCTCCCTCTGTCCCGCTCTACAAACCTTCCCAGCACAGACGCAGGTAGTTCGTGATTGTACGACTGGGTCACTGGTCGCATTCACCCAGAAGTGTCTGGGAGAGACAGGAATCCATCGAGGGTAGACGGACTCTCAAGTGGATCCTTACAAACCAAACTTAAGACTGACCTTCTAGAGGATGTTGGTTAAATTACTTGCTCCAAACAGTCTTCGCATTGACTTCCCTTCCTGTTAGCTGCATTTCCATTCCCCTAGCACCGAGACTGAAATTTCAGGGTCTTCTGTCCCCTCCTCTATGTTACACTGTCCCCTGCTCTCTGTCCCCACCACCACTGTCTCAGCTGGTTTTAAGACTGTGTCTGCAGGAGCCTTCCTGAGGCCTGCTGACCTCTGGTCCCCTCCCTGGTGATGCCCGCTGGCCGCTTCCGCTTCCGTAGGAAGAGCTCTGAGGTCTGCTCCAGGCCTTCCCTGCCCCTCCTGAAATGCTCTGATCAGACTACCCAGCCTAGGGCTCAGGATTCTCCAGGTCCTGGATTCAAGTTACTTTTGCAGTCTGGTGTTCTGTCGCACCACTTTACTGTGCTCTGCCTGTGTTTAGATTTATTAGACTGCTGCTCTGTCAGAGGGAAGTCAGTGTGCTTGCCCCGCCCCTTCCTCAGTGGCGTTCATTGGTGGTGTGTGCTCCTCACCCTTTCAGTCAGCGTCTGCACTTCTTTGACACTGTTTATAAATATTGATACTTTCCCATTTTAATCTTTATTACAAATACACATTCCAGGCTTTAAAACATCCTGAGTTTGCCATGAGGAGTATAGTTCCCTGTCACTTGCAACACCTCTGAGCTCACCAGAGGAAGCACACTCTTAATTAATTTCCGTGTTCTTCTGTTTACCTGTGGATCGTTCAGCTTTCCTCCATTTGGAAGTTTTCAGGTTCAAATGTTATTTGTCCATCATACACCATGAAACTTAGGACTTTTCAGCCCTTCTGAGTAAGGAAAGCGGGGACTTCCGCTCCAAACACTGCTGCCTCCCGCCCAGCACCGGGCTCTGCACCTTCCTGACTGCAGCAGCCCAGGCTGCAGCGGTGCTGTGCTTCCCTAGAGCGGTCCTTTCTGTTCTGCCACGCTCTGTGGCTTTCTGCTGCCGTCTCCCGCCTCTGGTCCTCTGGGGTGTGTTTCCCGTGTCTCTCTCTCTCTCTCTCTCTCTCTCTCTCTCTCTCTCTCTCTCTCTCTCTCTCTGTCTGTCTGTCTTCCTGCTCACTCCTCCACTTCAGTGGCACCTAGTCCTCATCCTTCAGTTGCTTTGTGAAAATCATGGTGCCTGGGACACGAAGCCAGGAGGTGGCGCAGGCCTTCACACGCTGTACGGTGTGCTACGGTGAGTGGTCGTGACAGATACAGCGCTAGATTAGCAATGATTTTCCTTCAGAGCTTTTCATTTTCCCCCTCGCCTTCTGGCTTTCCCTGGTGCTGTTAGGAGCTGTAGTACCATTCTTCTTCCTTTCTCAAAACTAAGAATGAAAGAGTTTCCACTTTATTATCTATTTTGGCTTCAGGAAGGCTTTGGAATCTTCTAATATCAATTAACCTGAAACTCATGAATAATACAACTAGATGTAAGTTTCTTTCCTTTGAATTTGCTGGCTGTCTTGTCATACAAGTTCTTAGGGATTTTAAAAAAATCTCTCTCTTTTTTTTCCTTTAGAAGGGTGACACTATGTAGTTTAGACTGGCCTTAAACTTACTCTGTGGCCTCAAGCTTGTGGTGATCCTCCCGCCTCAGCCTCCCTCGTGCCGGGATTACAGGTATGTGATACCTCAGCCAGCAATTTCTTTCTCGAAGCATGCACTTAATATCAGAATCTGACTCTCCAATATATGTTCTTGGACGACTACTGCTCAGATTTTCAGAATGGTGAGGTTCATTTGGGGAGTTTGGCATACACATTTAACATCTGGATCACTTTCAGATTTGCACTTAGGTTAGGGAACAGGAGACACATTCTTTAACCTCCATTTTTCATAGAGCAGAAAAAATTTTATTGCATTCATCCAGACAGGATATGTGTAGGAAGGAAATTTCTAATTTATTTTATTTTCACACTCATAGTTTTGAGAAAGGAAAACGAATTGATCATACTGGTAAATGTCATGTTTTGGGTCTCCAATGTCCCCTGAAGGAATCATAGTCACAAATGCTCTCCAGGCTGCAGGGTTAGGACGGAGGGACCCTAACCCTCTGTGGTGCTGCAGAGGTCTTTGTGTCACTGGGGGCAGGTCCTCAAAGAGGATGGGGCGCTGGCCCCTCCCCATGGTCCGCTGGCCGTGAGGTGAGCGGTTGTGCTGTGTGACATGCTCCCATCGTGATATGTCACCTCACTCCAAGCCCGGAGCAATGGGGCTCGCAAGCCATGGGTCAGAACATCAAAACTACGAGCCAGAAAACCCATTTCTCTGTACCAGTTGTCACATCAGGTGCTTTGATATAGTGACAGAGATCTGATTGACACCATAAATTTGACAAATGGGGCTGATCGTGCTCCACTCAGCTGCTTCCCTCTCTGTTGAATTTGGTCCATCATGAGGATTCATTGCACTCCACCCTGCCAAACCCTGAACTATGGGCACGGACTCATCCTCCTCTGTGTGTGTGTGTGCATGTGCGCGCACGTGGGGGGCACCCAGGTGTGCCAGTCACTGATCCCTAAACCCCCGCAGACATGGCAGAAAGCAAGATGATTCGATTGCATGGCCAAAATTACAACCTCCAGACAGCACGGATAACAATAAAACATAAACACTCTGGTTTCCGTCTCTATCTGTAGGGTCCGTATATTCTGTGTTTTGTTTTTCCTCTTACCTACTGAAAGACATTTCAGTTGCTTTCATGTTTTGGCAATTATGAATAAAGAAGTGTCAAATATCTGTGTGCAAGTGTTGTGTGGATCTACATTCTCAGCTCTTTTGAGTAATACCAAGAGATGCAATTTCTGGATCCTTGGTGAAACTACAGAGAACTGGCTTACCTTTGGCTGTGTCCTTCTGTAAGTTTTACAGGAAACTGCCAAGCTGTCTTTTCAGGGACTGTGCCCTGGTGCAGCTCCACCAGCAGGGGAAGGGGGTTCCTGTTTCCCCACATCTGCAGATGGGGGCGCTGTGCTGTCTCACATTGTTTTAATGTGCATTTCCCCAATGACATGATGCAGGGCATATTTTCTTTTCTATTTTAATATAATATAAATAGGTATTATTAAAGGCAACATAATGCAGTGCTCTTCCATGAAAAAATAAAACAAAGTTTCATAGCAAAATAGAGAATAACAATAATCTATACACTGTATCAGAATCTTAAAAGAATGGCTAAAATGTTACTCAGAGTGAAAGTCGTGGGAAAGACTCTCTCTTACCAAGAAGAAGCAGATAAGGGCCCTGCGCTGTCTCTTCACGATGTGGCATCGATCATTAGCTGATTTTCCATGTGTGTGTCTTCTTCGGGGAAGTCTCTATAAAGGTCTTGGCATAGTTCTTAGTTAGGTTGTCTGTTGCTATGGTCCGATTTTAGGAGTTCTTTAAATATTTGTAACAGTCTTTTATCTGATACGTCTTCTGAAATATTTTTCTCCCAGTCTGAAACTTTCCTTTCATTTTCCTAAGAGATACACCATTTCCAGCGAGACGGCTTTAACAGACAGAAGGGAACACGTCTTGGCTACAGTGAGCAGTGGCAGCGGGCACGAGGACGCTCGGCCTGTCTACCCTCATCCTGGCTCCTGGGGTCTCGATCCTTCTCCATCAGTGCCCTGACTTAAGAGACCTAAAGAACATTCCACCTTCTGGCAGCATTTTCTGTGCAAGTTAGTGTCCTTGGTTGCACTAAAGCAACCAAGGTGTTCAAAAGCAGTGTTCTTGGTTAGTTAGGGTTTCTGGTTGCTAATTGGAACAGAAGGAAAATATCAGAAAAATGTGGGCTACATAGTGAGTTCAAGGCCACCCTGCACTACAACGCAAGAAAAACAAATATAGAAAAAGTCATTCAGGAGATCAGTGGGACGAGGGGATAACTTAACTTGGAAAAGATTAGAATTGGAGGGCACCAGGCACAGCCAAGAGCTTACTCGGAAGGTGCCGTATTGTCGTGTGTCACCCGGGACACTGTTGGTCCCTTTGCCCTCGTGTCACTAACTGCAAATCCTGGTTAGGAGTAAAAAAGTTATTTATGTTAGTTATAATGAATATTCTATTGGATACTGTCATGATTTCCGTTGAGGGTGTTCTCCATGTCATTCCCCTTTAAATTAACAAATACGTTTATGTAGTCTTCTCAAGACTTGGTTTCACTGTGCAGTTCAGGCTGCCCTTGAACTCACAGCAGTCCTCCTGCCTCTGCCTTCCAAGTGCTGGGATAACAGGCATGAGCCACCATGCCTGGCTTTTTTTTTTAAGTATATTTTTTCTTAGTGGTTTCAGAACTTCTTCAAACTCAGGAGTTTTTAAAATCATCTTCTTCTTCCTTGATTTTAGCAGGTCCATCATTTTGGAACTCCATGAAGCACGCAAATGAAAGCTATCCAGAGTATTTCATTCTCATGGGCTTAACCAGATACCTGTGGCTGGACCGTCCTCTCTTCTTCGTCCTCCTGACCTCTTACCTGCTCACACTGTCAGGAAACACTGCTATTATTCTGGTCTCTCAGCTGGATTCCCAACTCCAAAGTCCCATGTATTTCTTCCTCACCAGCCTTTCCTTTCTGGATCTCTGCTTCACCACCACAACCGTACCTCAAATGCTGCTCAATCTAGGGGGCCCCAGTAAGAGCATCACTTACATGGGCTGCATGGTGCAGGCCTTCGTGTTCCACTGGCTGGGCTGTGCTGAGTGCGTCCTGCTGGGTGTCATGGCCTTGGACCGCTACGTGGCTCTGTGCCAGCCGCTGCGGTACTCGGTAATCATGGACCACAAGCTCTGCTCGCAGCTGTCCAGCACGGCCTGGCTGCTTGGCCTGGCCAACTCACTGCTGCAGTCCACACTCACTTTCCAGCTGCCCCTGTGCGGGAACCAGGCCCTGGACCATTTCTTCTGCGAGCTGCCTGGCCTCATCAGGATGGCGTGTGGCAATACCACAGTCAATGTGGCTGTCTTAGCAGTGGTGGCCACCTTCCTGATAGTGGGTCCCCTCTCCATGATCCTTGTCTCTTATGGTTACATTGCCAGAGCTGTATTTCGAATCCCTTCTGCTGCCGGGAGACTCAGGGCCTTCAACACTTGCTCCTCACACTTACTGGTGGTGTCCTTATTTTACGGACCTGGTATCTACATCTACATGCAGCCCTCAGGAGACGATCCCCAAGACCTGTCCAAAGTTTTGACGCTGTTTTACTGTGTTATCACTCCAATGGCCAATCCATTCATCTACACCCTGAGGAACACGGAGGTTAAGGGAGCTGTGAGGAGGCTGCTGAGGAAGACTGCTTCCTCTAAGAGAGTGTGAGAGCTCATGCCTTACATGTCCTCTTTTACACGTGTGCTTGTGGATGTCTTGTGTTTTGGGTGAATTATTTGGGGATGGCAGTGTGTAATGCATGTACCGTTGTTGCCCCCTGATGGACATGTTTTGAAATTTAGTTTTTGGTTTTTTCTTCTTGAAATAAGATGGATTTGGGGGAAAAATCAAGTATGTCCTATCAAAGCTATGTTGAAAAGTAAAGTTAAGAAAACCTTTACTATGAAGATAAGCAGCCACATAAGAAAAGACTTGAAAATTAGTTTGTAAATGTTTTTGAAATTTCAGTATGCTATTATTGAAAACCATCGATAAGTTCTGAAGCTCTGGACAAATATTTCAAAAGTACCATCTTGAAAGGTGTTTCACTGTGTTAGAATTTAGAAAAACCTAAAGAACGATGTAAATGGTATGGCATTTTCTTTAAAATGTAAAATTATTGTTACAAGTTCTTATACTCAATTATTAAGAACTTATCAAGTAAGCAAAAGGAAAACTCAATAGACAAATAAAACTAATGTTTGATATTGATATGGTGAATAATCTGGGTTCATACTTCATGTCATAAATCATATAAATTAAATTTGAATCAAAATATTAATTTTTTGTGGTGCTGTGCCTCACACATGGTAGGCAATTGCTCTAACACTGAACTATACTCCCAGCAAAAATGCTAAAATTAAGCCCTCTTCATTCAAAATATATCACTTTTGATCACAGTTGTGGAAAAAATACAAGGGGCAAATACATGGGGTAAACATAGACAGATTTTAAATATATACTACAATGAAAGATAAATTGATACTAATCTCTTTCACTTGATTTAATGGACACACATTTGTGGAAGTAAACACAGCTTTCATATTTGCATAAACCTCCCCAGAGTGTTGCTGGTAGTCAGTTAGGATAAGTGGCTTACACGCATGTATTAAGTGAAGAAGGCTCTGCCCAGAGCCAACGCTTCTGAGGGAGACTGGCTCTCTCCTCTCTGAGCTAGGATTCCCCTACAGCCATACTTTTATGAGTAGCTCAGGATACAAAGGATATTGTCCTACATTTGGAAATTCTTGCTGCAATCCAATGCGGCTCCCGAGGTTCTTGGGGTTAAGGACCTGTAGAGGGTGAGAAAAATAAAGAAAAGACAAAGTGGGGTCCGTGGAGCCCTCACCTTCCTGATGGGAGGGAAGGAGCTGCTCAAGCACTGTAGCACCTTTATTCATACCCCCCAAAGGTGAGTATCAATTCCACTGCCCAGCAACTTGTTTGCCCAGCAGGCCTGGGCCTCCTGCCTTCTCAGTGCTGCAACAACTTGTTTACATAGTTTGTTTCAGTTTCTCTGCTTTTTCTGGGCTGGACTTACTTCAGCCCTTACACATGCCATCCATCTCCAGCTTCAACAGCTTGGCTCCCAACAAATTCTGTTTTTAAAAATTTTATTTAAAGAAAGACTAAACAAAACAAAAGATAGGCAGAAATTAATACATACGTTCAGAGAAAATAAACAGTAAGAAATCACTAGTTGATGTTTACATATTGTCATTTTACAAATAGTTGTTCAAGACACAAAAATGGAACATGTAAAGTGAGAATTCAAACAGCGAGACTGCAAACAGTTCTGGTCAACTGTCCAACAGAAATTTAGTAACATGGTTGTCAATCCTATACACTTAAACATACATGCAGTTATCCATATCTTCATTTGTGTTGATTAAACAAACTAAAGCAGGTTAAAATCTTTCTGAACAAAGAATAATAGTATTGCTGGATTTCACATCATGACTCTGTGACCAGCACTGGGTACTGTAGTGTCTTTTTAAAAAATTTTATTTAAAGAAAGACTAAATAAAACAGAAAACAGGCAGAAATAATACATAATTTCAAAGAAAAAAACAGTAAGAAATCACTAGTTGATGATTACAGATTGTCTTCTTACAAATAGTTATTCAAGATACTAAAGTGGAGCATATAAAGTGGGGATTCAAACAGTGAAATTGCAACCAGTTCTGTTCAACTATCCAACAAAAACTTAGAAATATGGTTATCAATCCGATACATTTAAACATACATGCAGTTATCCATATCTTCAATTATGTTGACATTGAATAAACCCAAGCAGGCTAATATCACTCTGAACAAAGAATAACACTATTGCTGGATTTCACATTATGACACTCCAGGATCAGCACTGGGTATGTTAGTGTCTTTTTTTTCTTCAAAGTATCTGTTCATTTCATCAAGTGTTGCAAGATCAGTTATCATAAACTGTTTATAGATTCTTCACATGCATGAGTCTTAACATGTATTTCTATCCTTTCTATATTAGACGGAGAAACAAAATAAAGCAAGGCAAAACAAAACATATTTCTATAAACACATGAAACAAAAAAATGTATAAGACTGTTGTACAAAGAGTTCTACCATGGATCCTGTGTTGTCTCTTGTTATCTCCCATAGAATTGGCTATATAATCAGACATAGTATAATTGAATATGTCAGTACATAGCAGTATTAATAAAAACACAACTTTGTATATAGTATAGAACCTCAAAAACCGGCAGTTATCAAACCAGAATGTGTATCGTAGAGTCTTGTCATCTTCAGTGTAGTTGCCTATACTCTCAGACTTGATACTATCAATCATATCAGTTTTGAATAAAATCTTCTCTGCCTCGTTTCTGTGATGCTCCTTTTTGCCATCAGTTGTCTGCTTATCTTCATTTTGTTTTCTGCTCCATTCATTGAGGTCTCTCTGCCACTGTTCCTGGAATCCTAGTACTTTTCTCTCTCTCTCTCTCGAATGCCCTGCAGTATTCTCTGTAGAGTTGGATTGGTGGTCACGAATTTCCCAAGTTCCTCGTTGTCTTGGAAGCATCTTGTTTCTCTATTAATTTCTAGAAACAGTTTATCAGGGTACATCAATCTGGGATGGAGGTTATTTTCTTTCAGGGCTTGGAATATTTTGCTCCAGGCTTTTCTTGACTTAATGGTTTGTGTTGAGAAGTCTGATGGGCCTTGCTTTATAGGTGATCTGTTTCTTGTCTCTAACAGCTTTTAATATTCTGTTCTTATATTGAATTTCTGGGATCTTGATTATTATATGCCTGGGTGTAGCTCTATTTTGGTTGTAGGTGGCTGGAGTTCTGTATGTCTCATACATCAGAATATCATTTCCTTTTCCTATGTTTGGGAAGTTTTCCTTAATTATTTCTGTGAATAGCCTTTGTAGTTCCTTTGTTTGTACCCCTGTTTCTTCATTCACATTCTTTATTCCCAAGTTATAGATCCTTTTGTCGTCGTCTAGCTTTTGTATTGTTACTGGTTGTTTCCTTGCTATTTTAAAAAAGTTTTGCCTTTCATAATCCTACATTGCAAAATTGTCCTCCAGTTTGGATAATCTATCCTTAGTTTCTTTCAAGCAGATTTGCCATCTTTACATAGAGTTTTTAATTTCCTGGTAATCTCTTTGAATCTGCTTCATGTATTCTATATTTTTGCATTCTTCATCAAATGGTTCTCTCCTGTTTCAGTTCCTCCCTTCTTCCATCTGTGTCTGCTTGAGAGATGCTTAGTATCTCTTTTATTAATCTTCTTATATCTTGCTTTCCTTGGCTAAATATTTCACTTTTGAACTCATCTATGAGGTCCTGAATATACCTCTTTATGTCCACTGGCGCCGTGTCTGATACTGCATGCTTGCTGTTCTCATTCTCCTTTGTATTTACTTGTCGTGGGTCAGTGTTCTCAGGGTTGGAACCTGGGGGCTTTTTGTTGTTGCTTCCTCTTCCCATCTTTTTTGGTTCTTCCAGGAGGCCCTAGTTTCTTTCTTTGTTGGTTACAATTGATCTGAAGCATGCTGGCTAGATGACCCTTCCCACTGCCATGTGCTAGTGAGTTGCAGACAGGGACATTATATGTTGGCCCCTCCCCTCTGGATCAGTCAAGTGCTGTGGCCTGCACTGTATTACTATGTACTGCCTCCCCTCTGGGTCACTCAAACTTCTGAGACTTCACTGGGGTAGTGTGGTTAGTGTGCACCACCGCTGTAGGGACTTGATTTTGGATAACCTATTGGGTCTTAGCCAGGTCACGTGACCCAGGCCTAGCTCACTCCACCATCCTGTTCGGGAAGGGAACAACTGACTGAAGTCACTGCTGACCCTTGTACTTGCCAGTCCTGCCCGGTCCCAGAATGTCATCTGCCAGAGCTTCCCTTTCTATGGAATGGCTCCACTCCCGTCACTCACCACAAGTTGATGTAGGCACCCTGCCAGCTCAGCTCTCCATTCAGCTCCCCAACCCCCAAATGCAATGTAACTGTGCCTCCAGTGAGTCTAAGTGGTGGGACCTTGGACAGCTCAGCATGTCGCCCGCCTGCTGCGGCGGCGGGAGCACTGATTCTTTAGCTGTTCCAATGATAGCATCAGGATTGTATGTTTGGTTGGTTCTTCTCACCTTAATTTATTCTTGGGACGAGAGAATTCATCTCCCTCTGTTTGGGGCTCACCACACTATATTACATTGAATTCTAAGTTGACTATCTCAGGGAACCTCTGTAGCCAGCTGTTATCTATCTGCCATCTTTGCTCCTCCCCCCCCAACAAATTCTTATTGCAGATACTGAAAATCTAACACAATTTAGAGACAAGAGATGTGGTCTGACAGTGAATTGGTATGGCTTATCAAAGGCATAGCTTAGGCTCCATCTCAGAGGAAATATAATATTCTCCAGGATGTAATCTGTGTACTGAACCGCCACTGTGCTGAGTCTCCAGTAAGAACACAAGAGTAGAAGCAGGAGTGCCCTGACCATCACTCTCAGTAAACCACAGAGGGGCTCCTTCTTCCCATTCTCACAACTCTGAGCTTGGCAAAGGAGATACAGCAAAAGGCCTATTGAAGAGCAGGTTAGTAGTACCACGTAGACATCTTGGAATCCAGTGTCAGGGAGAAGGAGGAGGAGGAGGAGAAGAGAGGAAGGGGGAGAGGAAGGGAAAGGGAAGAGCCACTGTCAGAGGAGGGCTGCTTCACTCGGATTAGGAGCAAGAGATAGAGCTACTGCTGCACATTGAGGCCTGAAAGGAATATGAATGAAACCCACTTAGGCCTGACTATGACGTCAGGAAAAGTGCACAGCTCTTACTCCCAGACTCATAAAAGCAAGCTCACAACAATGGAAAATCACCATCATTTTCAACACGGACGCTGAGCACAGGATACTACATGAATCTTGGGCACTCTTGCCTCTGAAAGTTCTTAATTTGCATTCTTCACAATATCCCC